TTCACGATACATACTCGAATTTTCTAATATTTTCAGAAATTTAATATTTTTGCATTGAAAAAAATACTTTACGCGTAGTAAATATACAAATGAAAAAATTTGAGAAAATGTATAGATATGAAGGAAATGATAAACTATGCGAGTGCTAGAGAGAGATACATAGAGGATGCATGAATGGTATTTCGGCCACGATCGAATTGAAAAGAAAGATGTGGTAAGTTACACTTTCCAACCAATGAATTCCAAGATTCATGGACTACTTAAACCTCATTGGCGAGACTTTAGAAAGGTGAGTTACTATAAGTTTGCGCCCATTGAATGATGTATTCATATCAGATCAGAACGTTAGAGAGGAACGAGAAACTTGTTTGATTGAACTTTGTTAGATCCAAGTGTCTAACATAAGCCTGACAGGAGTCTAAGAAGAACTTTAACCTTAATTCAAAATTTAATTTTAAAAAATTTTTACGAAAGAAAAGTACAATTCTAAAACGAAAAAAAAATAAATTGTAAAACTGATCTGCGATAAATCACAATTAGATAAAAAAGGATAAGATCAATTAGATATGGAAATTAGATGTAGATTGTATGAAATGTATGATTGTATGATTGTATGTATCAAATAAATAATGTAGATGTTAGAAAGAAACAGTGCCTTACATATTCATATCAATCTGATATTATGTACATGTGTTAAGCAAAATTAGCATAAATTTAATGAATTAATATTTGTTTATAAATATTTATTAAAAGTACATTTAAAAATTTTAGAATGTTTTTTAAAGCATAAAAACATACTATGAGCACATATTCATTTTAACATTTTAATAAAAACGGTAATGTTAAAGTACTTTTATATCCCCCAAAAAATTATTTTTTAAACTTACTAAAATTGTTTTAAAAATGTAATCTTGTGTAGATTAAAAATAAGTGTCTTAGATAGACATTTGTTATTATTAGCATATTTTCTTATATAATCCTAATTCTTGTCATGTATGTCAGTTATGAAAATTTTAAGAAGTAAACGCTCTAGTTACTCGTAATTTACAAATTTGACAGTATTGTTTTAAATACTATTAAACACGGAACAATAATCAGTTTTATTTCTTTTATTTAAATTTATCATAGTATATTTATTACAATAATTTTTTAAATACATCGTTTACCTTCGGATGTCCCATGTGTCAGACTTCTAAGCTCTACGTCGATATTTCTCTGGCCGAGGGCGCGTGCGAACAAGCCAACGGTTGAAGCGTCATTAGGGAAATTAATTTGTATTTTTCGAGTTCTTAAGAATTTTTCAATTCTGCTCACAAGCGGATCCGTGCTCTCCTCCGATGATTTCCTATCTTCCGCAACCTTTTCCAGGATTATCATATCGCCATAAACGTCGATGACGTCTTTGCTATTGAGTTCGTCCATTGCTTTTGTGAGCTTCTCTTCGAAATATTCTAAATTGTTTCCATCTTCTTGGCTTGATTCAGCTGTTATCAACGTCAGTAGTTGCAATGTTAGAAAGATGATTACTTTGGTCTTCATTGTTGCGAAGTGCTATATTGAAGCGCGACTTTGAAGAAGCGTTTTTGACTGTTTGCCCCCCGAGCCATTTTTCTTTTATACGAACCACGATTGACGGGTGGTGGGGCCATACTGAACTATTTGGCAAGCAACGTGCAAGGGCAGTAGTGTCGAGAATTTTAATTTTGCCGACTCTTCGAACAGCTAACATGAACATGCAATGCACAAGAATCGCGTGACGTAGAATACGCCGACACAAGTAAATTTTCCTTTTACTTTCAGAATTTTACTATCAAACCTAGGAGATTTCTTAAGTTTCTCAAGCTGAAACAATCTTTTTCAATCGAAAACAAGATAATTAAATCAAATCAAATTTTATAGAAGATTAATGATTGATATATTCTTTTTGTAATTAAATAAAATTAAATTTTAAAATGTTATATTTAAAGTGACTTTATTTTATTATATTTTGTCGCACGATTATTTTCTTTTAGCATACATTTCATCTTACTGCTTTTTTTGTATAGATTCTTTAGAGAAAAGAAATCTATTTCATTTAGGAAATTTCTAATTTATTTGTATGCACCTACGGTTTATTTGCATCACATATACATACAATGGTCTGTAAAGTCGGCTTTGAGCAATTATCATCTCCTATGTTTACGATCGGCATACATCATCAACGCATTCGTATACAGTCTGGTGAAAATTAGATTTTCGTGTCTCTTGGTGACACGGTATGGTATGTAAAACTTGTGTCCCAAATCATGCAGTCGGAAGCCGCAAGAATAAGAGAAATGAAACGAGCGACACAAGTAGCGGCCAAGGCTAAAGAAAGACCGAAGAAAATAGAAGTGGGAGTGTAAATGACCTGTAGGTATGTCTATATACGATTGGAATCGGATATGAGCTCGACCGGCTACAATTGCACGCCGAAAGCTGTTAATATTTCACGCCAGCGGAAACTAATCACGTACGAGATTTTCTATGCATCGTGCTGCATCGAAGCTCCACGATGATAATTTCTCCAGAGTAGAAATTTAATTCTGATTTGTACTTCGCCAGAAATAGAAAAAGTGAAGGAATTTTTCATATATATATATATTTCTTTCTCTAAGATAGTTCTTTTATGAATAATTTATTAAGTACAAACGATACAATTATTTAATACATACGATTAGTTAATAATTTATTTAGATAGATAAATTACATGCAACGTATACATATAAATACTATATAATCTAGCAGTCAAAGGTGGGTCCGATGGCCTCGAGAAGGTTTTTTGGCTCCGCGAAATATGGCTTTCGGTTATTTCCGAGCTTTCCTACGTCTCTTCATGGCAGATAATTCCACGGAAAGAGTAAGAAGTCTCGTCTCCTTAATCGGTACCGTTGGGAACCGGAGCGTGAGCGGAATATGCCAAATTGTGGGCGTCGACATTCGTGTCAGCCCTGTCGAAACTTCTATATCCTTGGTGCTGTAATCCTGAGGGCCCACCGGCGGCCCAATTTCCAGCGACACCGTTGTCATACCAGACGGGCGCGGGATTCTTACTGAATAAATTACTTCCAATGCTGCTACCGCCAATGCCGCCGCCGCCAAAAAGCTTCTGGAACGCCATGACACCGGCAACGAGCAGGGCGATTTTACCGAAGATTAAAGCCTTCAAAGCCAATAGACCTAAGCCGCCGAGTAAGATTGGTACCAATGCAAAGATTTTGATTCCTGCTGCAGCGATCAGCGGCAGAATCATTTTCTTGATCTTTCCACGTCCTAATCAAAGAGAAAAGAATCGACGTATAATTAATATTAAATTATAGGATCACAAATTAGAAATAAAAGATACTACGATAGCAAATAAAAAAAATGAAGATATTAATTATTTGAAGCTTGAATATTAATTTTTAACTTTTCAACTGATTTTTAACTGTCTAACTTTTTATATATAAAAAAATTATAGATGAATATTATAGATTAATTATTTATATGCGTTTTAAAGATATAAAACTTGAAAATGTGCGTGTAAATTATGTGCATGTAAAAAAAGCATGATCAAGGGGAATATTATTTTAATTCTAATAATTGCAAATACAATCTAAACTTTTTAAAATACATTTGAAGAGGAAAGTGAATCATGCTTTCTTGAAAAACGAGTTTATCCGGAACAGGTCTGACGTCGTACATATAGATATCACGAAGGTGAAAGGCATGCTGGAACGCTTATTCGTTTATACTCATGACGTCGCGAATCCGTAACGTTAATCGACTAGACATAACCAAGGAAAGGTGAAGGATTATGTAATCAAAATACTTGGAAGCAAAAGAAATAAGATTTACCTTCAATCAAGGCGCGAGAAATTGAACTTTCGGGCATACTGAGTTTCAAACTATGACTCTTCATAAAAGAGACGGTTGAATCGTACAGCATGCTGAGAAGTTTTACCACCTTATCGGAGGTGTCACGTGGTAATTCATTCATGATTTCCACTTCAGTCTTGTCGAAACTTTTGCTAGTGCGCTCCACTATAACAGATTTTTTTTAATAAAAATTATTATCAACATTTTTCAGAATTATTATCTTACACAGTATTTCGCAAACAAACACGAAAGAATTGCCATATACTTGTTTAAAAATAGGTAGATGTATATAATTTCTTTAAAAATATATATTTTTTATATTTTTTGTAATTTATATTTATAATTATGTAAATTAACAATAATGTATATACTGTTATATACTAATAATTTTATATTAATAATAAAATTTTACTTAAAACGGACATCATGCACGAACCCAAAGCGCAATCAAAATTGAAATTATACGTATAATAAATACACGAACTTACTAGGGGTGTCTCGTACAAAAGTCACGCCATCAATGACATTGATGTCACTCGATCGAGCCGCTTTATTGAGAACACTGACGGTCTTTACGAAGATACAACTGAAGAGCGCATTGTCGTGCTCTAAACAATCCAGATCTTGAGACGGCTGCACGGACACCGTTGTAGGTCCTGCTACGGCATACGTAGCAAGAAGTGTCAGTGCCAGAAATTTATTCATCTTCTTCTCGCCTAATCACTCGTTAAATCGTCACGGAACCGAACGCTGAGAGGCAGTGGTAGAGACGGACGGAAACTACTCTCCGGAAAATTTTCGAAACAAAGTGCGACCTGGCCCTGCGGCGTCTGAATCTTTATAGGTGTGCACCGCGTAGGACCCTCCTCGGTATCCCCACTCTGGATGACGACGACATGTATGACGACAAGGAACGACGAGACGAACAACTCATCATTGCAGGTAGATACCGGCGGCCACCACCCCAGAAAACTTTCTTCGATAATTTTTAAACAAACGAACGACTACGCGAAGAGGCGCGGACTACTACTTGGGCGGACCTAAAAGTCACTCTCCCTAACGTCACCAAGAGAAGTTTACGTTTACCACAGTAACCACTCCGTATTTGGGTCAGCAGGGAAGATAACACAACACTTATTACAGGGATTATTTGTATGTAGCAGAAGGACCATTGAAATCATTCTATCTAAAAAAATATTGATATATTTAAAGAGACAGATATCTTCATCAACGTCTCTTGATTTCGTGTCTTAAAAATGAACATTTTAAATTGATTTAGTCTCCGCTTCTCAAAATACAACTTTGCTTTTTCTTTTTCAAAATTATAAGATTAATAACCATTTTGATATACGACACTTTCTTTGTATTCAAACATGCGCGACAAATCGCTTAGAAAACCGACAATAACGGCGATGACAGACATACATACATTTCGCGCCTCGCCATTCACGGCTGCACATGCTTCGCGGTCGCGGATATACGCTTTCCTTATAGGTATGCATGTGCATTTAGGTAACGCTAAATGTGGACAATTTTCTAGTAACAATTTTCAACAATAGCTAGTGAGTAAAACAAATGCATAAATATTGTAGGATCTAAATTACATTCAATAAAATTAAAAATGTTTAAAGAAAATATCAAGTAAAAATATTTAAATATGTATATTTATTCGCAATTATTGCCAATTTTACTATATCAATTTAGTTTTGAGCTCCTATGAAACAATCTAAGCATTCGTAGCTCACCTTTCTTTATGGAATTTGAACCGATGCATTCCCTTATATCCACGTGCATAAGCTGCTTACCTTGACCCAGCCACGCGTTCGTCGGTAATACGTGAACTACAGATTACGTCTTCAACAGGTTTCCTGATATAACTTAAACTAATAAACTAATAAAATTTTTTACTCATTGATCTTTGTGTTTATTATGATTATTTTATTGCTATTGTACATCGAGTATTATAGAATTATAATTATAAAAAATGCGAAAAATATTTCAGTTATTTCATTTTGAAGTAATTTATAATTTAGTAAACAATATTTAAATATAATAAATTACTGTTTTAAATATATATATATATATATTACATATTAAATATTTATATTTATAAATATATATGTTTAAGTATAGATATATTTGTTTTTATTACTATTATGTACGTTTTTTAATTTCAAGATCGCTTTAGCTTGACTATTTTCTTAACATCGCGTAAAAATTTGAAAAAATATTAAAACTTTTAAAAATATAATACATTAATGTAAGCCAAGTGTTAATAAACAACTGAAAGAAAACATAGCCAATTCCTCAGAAGCATCTTAGGTGCTAAATACTGCATAAAATACTTTCAAATAATTATATTACTAAATTAAAATACAGATAGCAAAAAAATTATCATATCCTCAATATTATTACGTAATTATGACATATGACTTTTAGTGTAAAATAAAAAGTAAATACCTAATTTATAAGGTATCACATCTTCATTCTGGTCCTAATGCTTTGACATTATATATTATGTGATTTTAGTAATTCTATATTTAAAAAATGTATGTAGAATTATATATGAGAGAAATTGATGTCGTATATGACAAAACAATCAAAGCATTATAAATGTTGCTTTTCAGGCAACCACTTCAAAAGGTAACAGATAACTTATTCACAAGAGATATTCCATTGTCTTCCGTACGAATCTGTTTAAATATTTAACAGGTATGAGAGGGACTTTGTCATCTTCTTAACGGTATCGGGCTTGGAAGAAACGGAAACAATTTTGCGATTAATTTTCTGGGTTACGAATACCATCAGCACGTCGTTACTTCCTATTACGAATATATTTCGCAGAAATTCATATGGCAATCTTTACATATGACGAATTTATCAGTGTTTTAAAAATACATTTTCTTTTTAAAAAATAAATATTTTTATTTATTTATGTACAAAAAATTACTAATTAACATATCTATTCTTCCTGATCTCTTCCTAATAATACCTAATATCCTAATTAATTGCCAATATCGTATACAATATCTGTATATATATATAACAAAGTTTATATTTATATTATGCAAATGATAATTATATATGTGTGAAATATAAAAATTTCTAAGGGGTCTGTAACAGCTAAGAAAATCAAAGGTCGACAACCTACATTGAGGTCAATTCCAAACTTATATCTGTAGTTCTTTCCGTCTTTTTAGTAAATGATATAAAGAATATTTCTCTTTTTGTAACTTTCCTCTTTCTCTTAATCTTTTATTATATTATTGCGCAATAGTTCCATTTTTATTACTTAAAAAATATTATTTTACGATAATAAATATTTATTTCGTAATATTACATTATTTTATTTCTTTAATTAATAGTTATGATATATACTTTGATTACACAAAATCATATATAAATACATTGTAATTATAATACTTATGAAAACATTATTGGAAACATATTTATTTACATAATGAATAATTTAACTTTGATGGTTACGAAGAGATGAAATAAACACGCTGCTTACAAACTAGTTCCTCGTGGTATCAAGAAACTTTCTCTCTTTCTCTCTTTCTTACATCATACTAGTGAAATGAGTGGAGATATATTGTGACTCATCTTTAAAACAGATTTTATTAGATTAAATATTATTAATATTTATAAAAATAACAGAAACATACAGCTTTTGTTAAAATAATAAATATATAAATTACCCATAGGTAAATTATATATATTTTAGTAATTTTACTTCTATTTAGAAGTGTATTTTGCAATTTTTACCATGAATAATCACGTATTTAAAACAATTAAGTTAAGATATTTTTATTGTAAAATTCCTTTCATTGATATCAATATGAATATAAAAATACATTTAAAGTATAACAGTTCATACGTAATGCTTTTTCTAAATGTATAATATTTAATCTTAATATTTACAATATTTAATTTTAGTGTAATCTTATTATAGTTAAGTGCTGAAATAAATATATAAATAAAATTAAAAAGTTATTTAAAATGACAAATGAATAAATTTTATTCTTAACTTTATATATATAAATATAATATAAATTTATAATATAAATATATATAAATATAATATAAATTTTTTAAATTGTTCTAAATTATAATAGACTTGCTAATATTTTCCTGTGATAAATATTATTGCAAGAATAAAAATTGAGGAATTAATAAAAAATTTTATTGTCTATCAATAATTTTTTTTACTTCTTTTTACGTCGTTCTTTATAAAATCTGTAAGGTTCAAATTCTTGTACGTCGTCCACGAAATCATATACATCCTGTCGTCTATGTTTGTTGATCACTTCATAATCGCTTTCCTTCTGAGCAACTTTTTTCAATCCAATTATGGCTGCTAATATCAAACTCATTAAACTTAGCACAACAGCTTTTCCACTTAGAACAGCCAATGCCTTCAGCGTGATGGGCAGGAGAATCGATTTTATTAACAAAAATCCAACTAGCAATGGTAGAACATACTTATTCAATTTAAATTTCTTATCCTTACGCCCTGCAATTAATAAAGAAGATATGAATAGATATAGTAAAAAGTATATGAATGTGTTAAATGTTCTAAATTTATACATATCTTTTATACTTTATATAAAAATACAGTTATTAAAAATATACCTATCATTTATATCCCCACTCGATATATCCTATACTACATTGCTCGTAACGTTCTACTAATCATCACATATGCTAGCTTAAAATGTTATATTATATTATATAGGTTTCCTATTCCCTCGAAAACTAGGATGCACATATCAGACTTCATTGAAGTACCTTCTTTATTAGACATCGTCACGGAAGTTAATAAAGATGAACTAGAGTAGAAAGCACTTATCTTTTTGTACTGAGAGGTTCCACGCGTCCATAAATCCAAAAGTATCATATAATAGACAACACGTGTAATTATACGCTCCTTTAACGGCGTTTTATTAATACACGGTCTCATAATTCCATTTTACAGCAAATTATTCAAATTTTTTTACTTTAAGCTTAAAATATCGCACTAAATTTGCCATTTTCTTATCTCATAATTTTCCGAATTTATAAAATATTGAGATAGTTTGTGTAAAATTTGGTAAAAAGTTTTATGGTCGTTATTGCAAATTATTTAACAATGTACTCTAAAATGTAATAAACGTTTCGTAACGTTTTAATATCAAATTGTATAAGAAAATCCTTTCAAATGATTTTTAAATAGTTTAAATACACTACTTTGACCTTTTTTCTATTGATAATTTTATTTAGCAATTTATAACAGTACTAATATTTTAACAGTGAAGATGCTAATATTTTAAATTTTAATTTTTAAATAGACAAAGATTATATAAAAAAAATCTATATTAAAATTTAGAATATTATTAAATCACAAACTTAATAATAATTATCAATATAATGCTGGTCTAGTTTTTAGAAAATTTATTTTACTAAATTCTATTTTACCGATTAGTTATTTTCAATACTCTGTGTACATTATTTAGAATGAAATTAATCTGATCTCTCTTTTTTTTATCAATCATCATACATACAAAATTTGAAAATGAATAAATCCTCGCGAGTTACGTTAAGCCACATATAATTATTATTATTATCAATACCTTCCACATCATCATACGATTTTGAAACAGGAAGAAGTGTATCAACAGCATTCAGAAAGCTTTCACCAATCCGATTTAAAGAGTCTCTCGATTTGTTCTTCTGCAACATCTCTCGGTCCAATGTCTTTATCGATTGCGATCCCTGCGCTGGTGATACGAGCACAGGTAGAAAGAGCAACACATACAACAGTAACATCTTTCCAGTATCTAGCTTTCCCTTTTGATTGGCCTTTTTGCAACGCACTCTATGATCACGTTTTATCTCGAAAACGAAAACTTCGCTTATCTTCGCGATCGCAACCAACCTCTTTGCCAATAATATGTTAACTGACATTCGTGCTAGACCGGTCTATTAGTTTATATAGCGGGACCGCGAAAAGCTCAGAGGAGGAGACCGCTCATCTAACTTGGTACTGACGCGTGACGAAGGATCCAACGTCCACTCCCGTACCTCCTAGGCTAATCTACCTCGATCATTGGACGCTTTTCAGATCGACCACTCTCGAGAACGAAGAATTTTCCCCGGAATATTTCGACCGGTGAATAAGTAGATCGTTCTCTCCTTCAAACATCTTTACTATTTTATTGTCCTTTGTCGTGAGAATATAGCGTCTATCATCAATTCAGTTCATTTTACACTCGAACAATTGTGACACAAAGACAAAGCTTTAACCGCGGCGGCCTGTTTACCGCGAAAAGTAAATCGGAAATAATACAGATTAAGCCATTCCAAAGCAAATCAATAATTAAAGAGGATAAGTGCAATTTTAGTCGATATCTAATGATTAAATCAGGATCAACTATTTTTGCATGATAAAGTTTTGCCAATGTTATGCTATATTATTATTAACAAAACTAAAACAATATTAATAATAATATTAATTAATATTAAAAGATTTTGATAAATTGTACACACACAAGTAATTGATATATTACATCTATTGTACGTTTATGAAATATCATTATTCACGATCATTATTTATGAAGGAAAGTGTATCTTTTTAGAAATCGACTTTTCAATTAATAGGTAAAGATTGCAAAAAAGATCCATTTCCATGCTCGTCATCAAGAGACATATAAAGAGAGTATTAACGTCACAAAAAAAATGATATTACTACGCTTGAACACGTCGGAAAAGTGATAAGAGATAACTTTTATATTACATTAGCAATAAATGTCATCGATGTCAGTGAAATTATATTTTTAGAAATTATTAATAAATTATAGCCAATATTTTTTTATAAAAAATAATTTTATATAAGAGTCACATATAAAAAGTATCGCTAATAAATAATAAATAATAAGTATCGTTAATAAATCATCATTAATTTTATTCGTAAGTTGCTTTTTCGTTCGGAAAGCAATTTTTTTGAAACTTTCATGCGTGTTTCGATTTACATGAATTCTTTGTATTATTTCGTGTCCCCGTTATAGATATTAAAATTTACTTTATGAACAAAGCTATTATTTCGTTAATGACAGACTCTTCCTTTGTGAGCGTCTGCTATTTCAAAATTAGGACCATGTGCTAGCACGGTAATAACAGTAATAATAGTTCCACATGAGTAAGCTTACAAATGATATTCATTACATTATGAAAACTAGTACAGTAATCACGCAATATTATCTGATAACAAAAAATCTTTCATATACTGTAAAACCAATTATCTGAGCTACCATTTTTTGATAGCTCAGAAATGTAATAATCGGTAATTAACTAAACATTATTATGAGAATTTATCAAAGTCTATAGTAATAAAAAATAACAGTAATGACAATAAACGCGAGAAACCAACAATACCGATTGTCTTTTTCTTTTGCTTGCTATCTCCTTCATTTATAACGGCAATTGTCATTTAAGATTTAGGTTTGTGAAGAAGACAATCGAATTGTCCTTTACTTCCTCTTTCTAAGAATCCTAAATAATACATATAGGTGGGATATGAATAAAACTACTGTTCCAATATATGGGTTGCAGACTTTATACATGATGGACTCGATTAATATACTGCTATAATGTGCTACTAAGTCTTCAAATAACTAGTTCGATGATTTCAGTAGCGACAAATATTCTGAGTAATGCGCGGAGTAATGACAGTATCCTTTATTATCGATACGAATTAGGAAACGACATATTCAACAAGATAATTTTGATACCAGTGCGTAATCAGCGCGTGTAGATTTCCTGCGATAGCAAATATATACGTTTATTACTCGTGAAAACATTCTCGACGCAATGTTCGAGAATGAGAAGAAAGTCATGGAGAGAGTACATGATGATAATGAGTACGTGATAATGACTGTTAAGTATTCGTTTGTTCGCGACGCGGTGCGTGTGATTTTTAGAGCAGATAAGGATACCTGATAATTGCTGGAAACAGCCGAGCTATTAATCACTCAATAAAAAAATGGAAACACCTCGCGCTGAACAACTGGCTTTGTCTCATCAATCTCATGCGCGGCATCCGACACATGTTTCGAACGCTCTGACTTAATCGTACAAGGTTGTTATAATTTTACCATTTTATTTTCCGATATTCAAAAAGTATTATGCGGCACATTAATATTTATCTGCTATCTGTAATTATGTTAAAAGATATACATTCATTTTGTCACGTAAATTCTAGTATCAATCTTGCGTATAAATTATCGCTTTGTTTTTTTCATTTAAAATAAATGACCAAATAAAATCTCTGTTTTATTGAAATCTTAATGTTGCATAATCTTACAGAATAAATATTCTCTGTCGCTTTAACTTTTAGTTCGTTAGAGGAATGTAAGGAAACCATCAAATCTATCATTAAATCAGGTATTATCTATTAAACAATCAGCACTCATATTTTATATAAGAAAGGTTGCAATGTCTCTTTGTACTATCTTGAGACATCACAAAAACAATGACTGCAACATTAATGTCTATAAATATTTTCGGACCTATATACCTACATACGTAAATTGGTACATTAAATTAAGAAGAAGAAATTTTCAGGTTGTAAGGATCATTTAAAGCTAGTGTGGGTTATTAGCAACCTGCATGTGTGTTGGGCGTAACTAAAAAAAAGATTCCATCGAGATCATCTACGATCGGTCATTTGCAATCTTTTCGCGTAATTTCTACACGTACGCACGCAGATTTCTAATTTCTTATCCTGCGGGTGAACAAGATGCTCATTTACGTCGCTGGCTACAGCGATGTACAATATTCTATTGTGCACTTAAGCGGAACCACGTGTCTCCAGTACTTCAGATACTTTAGATAAATATAGGACGGATTAGAAGATGTAGTGCAGTTTGCAATTCTCTGTTACGAGCGTAGAATAAGATCCTTGGATAAGAAAGACAATTGATAATCTAGAAGTAATTTTCGTGGCATAACAAGATTAAAAAGCAAATCAAGGGAGAAGTGAAGTGAAACACAAACAATTTTTCCCAGACCTAGCAGGGAATATCATAAATCACAAATATATTCTAAATAAAAAAAGCAGTAATTTTTTTTATTGTTCGTTTAATTTTCAAATAAACTTTATTTAAACAAAAACTTTTAAATGTTCAGAATTGTCCGGTACAGATAATCAATCACGATAAGATCATCAATCAACATACTATATTAATTTAAGAGATATATCTTGAACGCGTAATATAAGACCATAAAAAAACTACTACTGACATATTAAAATCACGTATCAGCATTTAATCAGAAAGATTTGAAAATTAGATCAAACATTTATAAACTTTCTTCGAGATAAGAACATTTGAGATAAAAAAACGCTACGATCTTACGCGACAACGCGAAACACACGACGTGTTTCCGTCGACGAAGATTATTTTCCGTCGAGGTCTCTTCGGCCCGGATATCATCTGCGTGGCGTAACTGAGAAAAAAATCGCGCGTTCATCGCGAAACGACGCATCATCATTCCGAGCGAGAGCATTTCCGCCCTCTTATAGGGGCGTTATAACACGCTCGTTCACACGAAGACCTCCGTTCCCTTTCTCTCACGCGACAAGAATACCCGCAGGAGAGCCTCCTTATCTACCACCAGCCGTGTCCGTACGTCGTATATACCGTTTCCGCGATATAACGTGACACATATATCGGTACTGACAATTTGGATCATAGTGTTTACCGCGAGCGTATATATCGCTGGCTCGCCGGTCGGAGCTCATTTTACACGGACTGCCGATTTTCCCGGCAACTGAAGCGTGCCCGACGTGGTATCCGCGGCATCCGCGGTCGGTTTGTCGTCGAGGAATCAACGGCGGATCGGTTAGTTCGCGGTTGCTCGTTGCACCGTTCATTCCTTCTCCCTACGCCATACCCATATTAATTTAATTTCCCGCAGGTTGTTTCCATAACGAACTCTAAAATCCCACATCCCGAGAGAGAACGGGAGTGTACAAAAGACGTGGACACGGGCAACGGAAGAGGTATGTCGTGACGACTATAGCGCTCGTCGTGACCCATCGTCTCTCCCGTCGACCCCCGGAAAGAGTGAGTCGCTTCATCGTCCGATTCGAATGTTTCTGCGATTTGGAAAAAACGTTTCGTCGGGCATTCCGTGATTTGGGAAAAAACCAGCCGGTGCGCGATGACGTCTTGACGAAGAAATAGGGTGAGATAGGCGAAAGAGTGAGATCGTGGACGAAAATCTGCGTGCGTGAGATTCCGTCAGTGGATTTCCGGCGTGAGTCCGTTCTTCATGAACGCGAGGAAAGATGCTGTCGAGAGTTAACCTGGTCACAATTCTGCTGACCTTGAATTGCGTCAGCCGCGCGATTGAGCACTCGAAATCGCCGCAGGAGAAACAGCAGGACGAAGAGAGAGCCGTCACTTCCGGCAAGAAGATTCTCAGGCATACGTACGACAATGTCATGTCCGAGAGTTCTATTTCCTTGGCCGATGGTCGCAATGTCAGAGATAACTTCTGGCTTGATATTCATAGTTTAATTGATCAAGGCAACCATAAAGCACATAGTAAGACTGAAGCGAAGGATCGAGGTAAATTAAATCAAAATGATCAATAATATTTAATCACAAAAACGCTTTCTTCCCATAATGCAAATGCGCTATGTAAAACGCTGACGCAAAAACACGGTAACAAATATTGTATTGAATTGTCATCTTGATGAAGTATGATTAACATTACCGTTATGTAACGGTCTTGTTTTAATATTCTAATGATTTTTATCATTGAAATAATAAAAATCCGATAGTCATGTCGGTAGTTTGTAAAATATATTTATGATACTCTACCATATACTATACTATACCATTTATGATATAACATTGATAAAAAAATAACAATAAATTTAATTTCTCGATTGTTTATAACAATAAGTTTTCCAGATATAACAATTGTCAAAAATTTTTAATAATAATGATATTGTGATAACGGTATTGTATTTCATTTACGAATTGATGTAATTTCGTAACATACACAAAAACCATTTTTATATATTACATAATTGACGAAAGTAATGTTAAATAACAATGCTAAGTAAGCTTTCGGCATTTTCATGATTCAACAAATTTAAGTCATCGAAAAAATACATTGAAAATTTTAATCATATTAATCGATAATTTTCAGACGGAGCACGACGTAAGAAACGAAAGGCTAGCCGTACCATGCTGGCATTACTAATGGCATACAAACTCAAATTTATCGCTCTGATCCCGACGATACTCGGAGGTTTACTCCTTCTCAAAGGAACGACATTACTTGCGGGATTCTTTTTCGCCCTGTTTGCCGCCGTTCTTGGTCTGAAGGTGCAACATTGACAACGAAATCAAAACGGAAATATTGGAGGAAGCGAATACCAAGAATGCGCTAAGAAGTGAGAATGACATACGACTTTATTTAATATGTAATAATTTACAATCAAATTAAACTCTGTGTAACTAATCGCCGTTATTTTTGAGAAAGTATTAAACGCCTGTGTGCACAAAGTAACACTAAAGGCCGAATTTATAATCGCTTCTCGGGGTTAAAAGTATACGTCTAGTATACATCTCGTAGAATGCGTCGCATCGTCAAGTGTACACTCAAGTGTAAACACAATACATAAGGCAAATTATTTTTTTATGTCTAACCACCGTAAGAACTGCTATGCGAAATAATCCGCACGTATTACGAGCATTACGAAATACATGTTAACGTTTCTTAAAATGTAATACATCTATGTAAGTTAATTATTGTAATAAATATTGTCAGATTTTGTTGGAATTAGTAGTAGTTCCTAGTCTCTACGTTGTAATACTCAAGTAGTTTTAGTCGTCTTACTCTACTGAACACACGATTTTAGTAATGTAAACGTTGATACAGATACTCGTGTAAGTACTTGTCGCAAGCTACACATTCCAAACTCTTTCTAAAATTATATTATAAATCTAAAATAAATATATATATCTCGCCGGTTATCTTGGCGCGGTACTATAAATAAATATAAATATCGCAAGAGTGCTGAGAAACGACTGCAAATTCGGCTGATCAAATAATGAAGTCTATCATCTTTCCGCTCGACTTCGAGACTGATCGCGTTCCGATTGTCAATAAAAAAAAAACTTCAGATACACACCGTTAGAAGCTCGCGTGTGTGAAAATTACTGTCTCGCTATCGTTTCGCTAGATTACTTGTCGAGGCAGGTTGGCAATTGAAGTGCAAACACTTGTCGTTGTAACTTACATTTGTCGTTTGTATTACGTTTTCTTGACACAGTTTTGTTTACACTCCAGCTGTGATTCATGGATTTTCTTCGTTTTACTTAGAAAATTATCGAGAATCGCGGTAACATCTTTTTGCGTCAAGTGTATATAATAAAATAATTACTGTGTTATTGCATTAAATAGGAAGCTACGTTAATTAATCAAATAATTAATTTAAGAGGCAAGAAATTACGATATGATAATTATCATATCAAAAATATTCAGAAAGCGATCAGACTTGTAAGAATTTACAAGCGAACGAAACAGTTCGCTTATTCGAGTTTCCTTTCCTACTTTTATCATCTTTTAGCTTTTCCAAACTTTTATATTCTTAGTATTTTGTTCACGTTTCGCATCCATTTGCAACATTAACGTCACTGATTGATGTATTCCACTGGTATACTTTATCTTTCCTTTCCCTCGCAATACACGCAATACGCATGAACAAACAAAATAATTTATCCTAAAACATAAATAAGCGAATTTATATCGATCTCTCGAACTGTCTCTGAAATCGCGCATTATCTGCTCCTTTGGATACAGGCGTTGCTCCCTCCCAATACCTGAATCTCCCATTGTTCCCTTTTGCAGCGAATCGCTTTAATGCTTCTGCCGCGCGCTGTAAGCCAAGGTTTGAGCATACTCGCGATCGGCTTCCGTCAATGATGGTACAGATGTGCCTACAACTCCCTTGAGACTTCTGTCCCATCCACCTCCACCGGACTGCCAGCCACCGTGATCGTGACCTTGCTTTTGGCTCAATAATTTCTTCAGACCGATGATCAGCGACAGCACCAAAGCGATCTTGCTGATGATCAGAGCTTTGCCGGCAAGCAAGAATAATACGCCCATAGCGATGGGAACTAACGCAGCGAGTTTCATCGCCATTCCCATCATCATCATGCCCATCATCTTCTTCATCTTCCCACGGCCCTCCTCGATACTTCGTTTCAATTCACCGGAATTTGTCTTTGGTAAGCTGATTTGGACATTGAAACTGTTCATCAGCGCGGCCACGCGCTCGAACAGAAGCTCGTTGAGTATTTCGTCCGTGGCACCTCCATTGGTCCTGGCCAAAGTCTTCTCCAGATCCGAGACCGTGTTTCTCGAGCTGTCGTCCACCGGAGATGCGACTCTGACCAGCTCGAGATTATCGCTGATCGGTAGAGTCTGTATACGACCGAGTCTCTCGAAGAAGGCGATCGCCTTTTTCTTCAAACACGGCGATACGGCCACATTGCGATGCTCACACTCCTCGTAAACGCGATAAAGGGCACGGTATCCTCGTTCAAGGAAACTACCGTCCTCATCGGCGTGAATAGTTGCACCGCAGGCTAACAACAGCAGCACGCACTTGGATAAATTTTTAGTCGTCAACATGTTGGACTCGAATTCGCTTTCCAACGCTTGGCGAACGCTTGGCTGGACAATTGGGGACTAAATCACAAACACTTCGTATTCTCGAAATCACGCGAGAGACACGCGACTCGAAATTCGAAGTGACTAGCCGGAGGTACGATAAGTCGCGCGCACCCACGAGCTGGATGATCCTCGACTAGAGAGAACTGGCATCAGGACGAAGTCTACGGGCAGATATATACCAGCGAGGAGCCATCCTCCTAGATGCCATCCTTCACGAAGGGGATGAGGTATCTCTCTCGCATAAACGGACGGATATGCCGGTGCACGTGACGACACGACCTCGCTTGTATGAGTGGATAATCCTCTTCTATCTTCTCTCCTTCGCGAACCCCCCTCGTCCTTGCATCCTCCTCTTTCTCTTTCAGCTCGCTAGACAGCTGCCATCGCGGCGGGACGGGGCCTGGGTAAAAATTCTCATGATGGTAGCGCGCCAAGAGCATGTGACCCTTCCTGACACAGAGACCCACTCGCGTCTCGAGATCGAGACACCGCTGCTTGAACGGCCGCCATGCGATTCGTTCATTAAATTTCGCCGCAGTGGTTACGTTACCTGGAAGTACTGTGTGTG